GCAATACAAAGATCTGAATTCAGATTGACTCAGATTACATGCTCTGTATACGGATGTAGAGATATTCTACATCCCACCACCTACAGAATAGAGCCATAAGCAGGGAGGAAAAGAACAAAAATACATCTATGGGAATTAAAAGGAAAAAGATTTACAGGATTTACTGTGGCATTCTGACAGGCTTTGAAAGGTGGCCTTAGTGAACGAAATCTGAAGGAATTATTATTGTCTAACAGGGTATGAATGAAAAGAAAAACAGGAAAAACTCATCCGCTAAATGAAAACATAGGAAGAATAGGGGCACCTGGGTGGCTCAGTCGTTAAGCATCTGCCTTCGGCTCGGGTCATGATCCCAGGGTCCTGGGATTGAGTCCCGCATCGGGCTCCCTGCTCCGCGGGAAGTCTGCTTCTCCCTCTCCCACTCCCCCTGCTTGTGTTCCTGCTCTCGCTGTGTCTATCTCCGTCAAATAAATAAATAAAAATCTTAAAAAAAAAAAAAACATAGGAATAAAAAATAAGTAAATATTTTAGGTCATAAAAAGACTTTGCGGCTTCTTCCTTGCTCTCTCAAATCACTTGCTCTGAGGGGCAATAGCTGCTATGTTATGAGGACACACAAACAAATATTGACTTGGTGAGAAACTGAAGTATCCTGCCAAGAGCTACAATAAGTAAACCATTTTGGAAACACATTTCTAGCCCCAGTCAAGTCTTCAGATGACTGCAGTGCTAGCCAACTTTTTCACTGCAACCTCATGAAACCCTGAGCCAGAACCACCCAGCTAAGCCTATCCACTCCTGACTTTCAGAATTAACAAATGTCTGTTCCTTTAAGTTGCTAAATTTGAAAAAAATTTATCACACAGCAATAAATAGCTAATACAATTGGCAAAGTGAAATGTGACTTTGTTTACATTAGAGTCAATGCAGTTTTGTGCTAGGAACTAGGGCAAAACCTAACCTTGGAATAAAAAGTCTCACAGTAATATGCAAGATGGATGAAGTGGGAAGCATTTTTTCTTCCCATCTTCCACAATACTCAGTAAAGAGTTCAGCACACAGAAAATACCTGTGTTTGGTTAGCAAATCAACTTACACACAGGATTCTCTAATTGACTCAACATAGTAGTCTTAATTTTTCTTAAAGTAAAATGACCCCCTAGAATCTCTCCATAAATTCAATCCTGAAGTCTGTCAGTTTTTTCATGATTTTGTTTGGGCACAGAGCCATGCCTTCCTTAACTGGGAGTTACAGGTCGTCAATGAAAATTGAGACCTACTAAAAGCTCTTTTCCCTCAAAAACTAATGATGTGAAGTATGGTGATTAACATAATAAAAAAAAATGAAAAGCTCTTTTCCCTAAATTTAATCAAAATAAAAGGGTAGCCTAAAAGAATGATTTTAGAGACTACAGACAGCTGCTTCAGAATTGAAGAGATTAAGTGCTGAGTTTATCATGAAGTATGAGCAAAAATTACTTTACATAGAAGTATTGTATTGCCTCAACCATACAGATCCTTAATAAATCTTGATAACTTCAGCAACCAGCCTTCTGGCATTAATAGGATTTAGAAATTTGGCCTCCGTATTAGATCTTCCAAATCATACTACTAAGAAATTGGGCAATATAAGCCTGTTTTCCAGCATCAGAGCAATGTCAGTTACACCTCAAAGTTTGCAGCTCCTAAGACTGGGTTTCCAAATTTTGATCTACAAAATGGTAAGGGCCTGTGGCCTTTCCTGATCATCAAGTTTCATACTATATGCCTTTCCCTATCACCGCATCCTTACACGTGCACTTTTCGCCTGACATCTGAATTTACCCAGAAAGGCTGATGAAAGTGGCTAGAAGTGGTCTTGGCTTTTCAAAACAAGTCTTGGCTTCTATTCTAGTTGGGGCGGGGCGGGGGGGGGGGGGGAATGTGTATATGTGTGTGTGTATATATATATGTGTGTATATATATATATATATGAGACAACCACAAAAGAAGTTATTATCAATTCACTTATACAGAAAAGGCAAGAATACTTTCAATGTATAATCTGATTCAATAACTAGAATTTGTAAACTAAAAAAATTTCAGAAATACTTTAAATTCTAAAATTCTATTCAAAAATTAATTAGTCTCAGAAAATAACTTTAAAAAGGTGGTAATTATTTTTTTAAAGGCAGTAATTTTTTAAAAAGTAGTTAAGCTTAAGTTTGAAGTAAAAAAAAAGTTTATAGTGGTCTCGAGTAGCTAAATATCCCCCTAAAGAAAATAAATTACACATCAACATTAAGGTTTTCTAACTTTACCAAAATAAACACACTAATACCCTTACTCTGGTTTGAATAACTTTCTCATGGGGAAAATAACCAATGTTTTTGTACCAAGTGTCATTTATTCATTTTATAAATTAGTCTCTTTTCACCACACAACACTTCCAATACATGTTTGTAAACTGACACCCTGGATCATGAGCTTTAATACCTAAGCCTTTATATCTAAATGTTTCTTAAAAAGAAGCACTTACAGTTAAAATAAGACATTTTAACAAATTCTAAAGTACGTTAACTCAAAAGTATGATCTACTTTCAAAGAGAAAAACTGAATAGGCATTCTAAAAAAAAAAACAGTAAATTCTAATAATAAAATCAATTTGATAGGAATGCCCCAAGTTTTTTAAAAGCACTTTAAAATCACGATATCCTTCCATCAGTCACAAAAATAAAAGCCTCCTACCATGAAATCAATTTATAAAATCCACACAGATTAGTGTAATCTGCAGGACAGTCCATAAGAACTATGAATCCTTTCCAAATTTAAAAGAACTCTTAAAAAAAAAAAAACTTAAAGGCAACAAGGGGTCATTTAAGAATGAAGATTATTAAAATCACCATATCCAGTTTCACCGGTAAAGCTTTTTCATACAAGTGATAAATCTATTACCCTGAAACAGTAAAATGATTACAATATTTTATAGTCTCTAATGTTTAAGAATTAAGAAAAGCAAGTATGTTTGACTATCAAGTTTTAACCTTATTTGGACTTGTGGCACTAATATCTTACTGTGAAAGATGATGTAAAAGTTATATATTTCAGTAAGTATCTTAAAATATGCAATGAAGCCAAAACTCCACTTCCTGAAATATTACTTGACCAATAGTTCATCATCTCCTAAAGGGATGTAGCACAGATATTAACTCAAAAAAAAAAAAAAAGAAAAAGAAAAAGAAAAATCCTGACACAGCTTGTTATTTAAGGTGAAGCATTCTAACTCTTGTGAAGTGGAAATAGCAGGGGGCTTGAGAACCTTTGTTCAGATCCAGCTCTACCACCACTTCCATTCTAGACTTACTGTTTTGAGGAAGACACTCAACTTGCTTCATCTGTTAAATGGAAGTCAAAATAATTCCTATCTTGCACCAGAGTTCGGAGAATGGGAAAGACATTTAAACTGTGCAGTGCTAAGCGTCTGTGTGCCCGCACACGCTAGGTAAATGGAAGAACTGTGGTAGATGCTAACGTTATAAACTGATGTCAACTTTCAAATATCTACTGGTACCAATGAAGGAGGATATAATAAAATGATAAATAACATATGCTTCATTTGTGGTTCACATCAATTTTAAATTGTCTTGAAGACTCTCCTTCCTGCCATGACTATACAGTTCAGCACAATTTCTCTAGGGTTTGTACGGTCTATTTTATCCCATCCAAAATATTTTCTTCACTAGATATTAAAGTAAACGTCAAACAGAATCTAATGCTGTATTTTCATAATATTTAGAGATTTGTATTCCTTATAACATTAAACATAAACCAAAGTTTTCTTTTTATTAGTTACCAATCCGAATTCCTAGAACTTTAAAATACTTAAACTTTTAAAGCCAAGTCAATACTGATGGTTAAAAGTCTGTTCATCGAAACACTGAGAGTCAAAATAAATGCTAGAAGCAGCATAAAATTCATGACGTGGTTCTCTCTCTGTGTTTAAAAAAGTACATTAAAAACCAATTAGTTAAAATACAAAGTTTCCCAAAGTGATCAGAAGTAATGATAATAACAAACAAAATATACTAATGCAATAAATTTTAATGTCTCGGAAAAAATGAAGTGTATTTTTGTCAGTATCCACGTTATTTCTAACAAGCTTTAGAAAAAAGCTAATTTCTTGAGATCTCTCCAATACATGACTTTAAATATTATCATCTAAAATTATGACACTCATGCTAAAACCTTATTATATGAGGATTATAAACCACATGCTATCATGATGTACCTTCCAGACCATATTTTATTACGATTCCAATTCTTTGATTCCGTAAAATTATTTTAAAGGACATCAATTCATTATTTTCTACACTAATTTATACCTGTTTTAAACTTTCTCCCAGATTTATCACACACACACACAAATAGAAGTTATTAAAATCACTTTGGAGAGTATCTTAATGACTACACAGGAGGAATTTTAGAAGCACTGATTAAATATAATAGACTAGTCTTCTCCTTAAGTAGTGAAAAGTGATAGTTGGGGGTCTCCTCCCTGAACAAGGAAGTTCTGTTAAATCCAGGCGAGACCAGCCATGTTGGAAAACACTTGTCAATTATAGTTCTGACAAGTGTTCGCGAACACGGCTGGATGAAGCTAACTAACCCTGTACACCGAGGTGTGTTCATCAAGGCCCTCTTAAGCTCCGCCAGAGGATCTGGGCCTACTTTGAGGTTTGTTTCTGAGTTAGAGCTGTCCGTAGGTCCGTAAAGAGTGCAGAGCCGAGGGGAAAGAGGGCGGGGAAAGGAGAGTTGGGGGGGAATTGGTTTGAGAGTTGGAAGCGGCTTTCCGCAGCGAGAGGGGCGCGGCGACCAGGAGAGATTTCCGAGTTGAGAGCCTGGGGGAGGGGCCGAAGATTCGGGGAGCAGGGGGATCTCAGCAAAAAGTCCCCTTGGCCCCCTCTGAGGGGCACACGAGTGTAAAAAGAAGAAGGGAAGGGAAAACGCTTCAGTGCACTGACCTGTCCTCCGAGTCCATGCGGCTCAGGGGTTCCCCATCCGACGACATCTCCAAGCTGCCTCGCCGGCCCCCGGAGGTCGCGCTGCTTCCGCCTCCCCCGGTCCCGTAGCCCTCGTCGCCGCCACTAGAGACGACGCTGCTGCTACTGCTGCCGCCCCCGCCGCCGCCCTGACTGCCCCGCGGTCCCTTGGGTTCCTCCAGGCCCTCCTTGCCGTCCCCATCCCCGCTGCTGCTGCTGGCGGCGCCGGGGCTCAGCGAGCGCGTCTCGTCGCTGCTGCTCCCGCCGCTGCTGCCCACCAGGCTCTCGGCGCTACTCTCCTCCTCGCCTCCGCCGCTGCTGCTGCTCTCGTCCTCCTCCTCCTCGTCCTCTTCTTCGTCTTCGTCCTCCCCGGCCTGGCTGGCGCTCTCGGGGCTCGGCTCCGACATCGTCTCCGCCTCGCCGCCCCCCACTCCGCCGCCGCCGCCCCCACCGCCGCCGCCGTTCAGCAGCAGCGCTGCCACCGCCTCGGCCTCGGCCTCCTCTTCCTCCTCCTCTTCTTCCTCCTCCTCCTCGGGGGGCTCAGCCCGGCCCCGCGCCGCCGGGCCAGGGCTGCCGGGGGGCAGAGGGCTCAGGCGAGAGAGCTCCTCCAGGTCGGCCATGTCGGTGATAGCGGCGGCCATGGCGGCGCCTGCTCCTCCTCCTCCTCCTCCCCGCCGCCGCCTCCCTCTCCTGACTCTAGCTCCCTCGCCCCCTCCCAAACGCCCAAAACTCCAGCGACGCCGCTGCAGAGCAGGAGGAGGGCCCCCGAGCTGCGTCAGCCTGCACACGCGCTACGGAGCCCGCGCGGGGACAGGCGCGCGACTGCGCGCACTCACGCGGAGACGGTTGCGCGCCTGCGCGGCGGCACGAGGTAGCGCCTCCCCCGGGCCGCGGATGCCGCGCCCGCGCCCGCGCCCGCGCCCCCACCCGTGTCCCCGCCGGGCCCCCGCCCAGACCCGCCGAGTGCTCAGAGTTTCCTTGGGGCCTGCCCACGCCTTCCCCCGCCTCGCAGCCGCCGGAACACGCAGAACGAAAGCTTGAGTGCTAGCCGGGGATTTTAACAGCCCTCCGAGTTCTCACGATAAAGTCATTCATTCCGGGGATGTTTGGGGAGTGTCCCCCCGTGTACGGGCAATGAGCCAGGAATCGAACAAGTCCCTGGTCTTCTGAGAGCTTGCAGTCTACGAGGAGAGACGATTAAAATGAATAAAAATAAATAATACAATGCAAGGTATTAAGTCCACACACGTAGCACAGAGCCACAAGTTTCAATCCAACCTTCGTTTGAATACCCCAAGAAACGGTTAAGTAAGTCTCAGAGCAAACGTGTCTTATGTTCAAGATCTTCAAACTTTTTAGCTCATGAGTCCTCTAAATTCTGTACATCCTTGTACAGTTTAAAAAGACATCTACATTTTTCTCCAGCATGTTACCAATATTTTGTAATTGTCACCCTTGTACATATAGCCAATGAACTCTACCGCAGGGATTTAATACCCACCAATATCCACTTTTTAAAATACAATTTTTTTATATTTGGTCAATTTCCATCCTTCCTTTATCTTCTGGAACTCATATTTACATTCCATATCCCCTCCAGAATTTTATCCTAATAATAGGTTTTATATTTGAACTGTTTTATTGATCATCTGTTATCTATCCTTGTAATAAAATGAAATAAATTGAAATTTAAGCGTCGTCTTTGAATTTCCTGTGATCACAGGAAAACTCGAAGTCTTATTTCAATTGATCAAAACACATATTTTAAATAGTTATATAAGTGGGGCCCCTGGGTGGCTCTGTCCGTCAAGCCTCCAACTCTTATTTTCTGCTCAGGTCATGATCCCAGGGTCCTCAGATTAAGCCCCAGGTAGGGCTGTGTGCTCAGCAGGGAGTATGCTTGAGATTCTTTCTCTCCCTCCCCCTCTTACCCTGCCCACCCATGTATGCACACTCTCCCTCTCTCTGTCTCTCTAAAACAATAAGTCTTTAAATACTTATATAAGTATTAAACACAAAAGTAAATTTTTGTTGGAAATGCATCTTACAGAGATAGAACTGCTAGTTCCAACCAGTTTTTTGCTTGTTTGTTTTTCAGGTAGGCTCCACACTCAGCATGGAGCCCAAGGCAGGACTTGAATTCATGACCCTGAGATCAAGACCTGAGCTGAGATCAAGAGTTGGACCTTTTTATACTTGAGCTTTTTTTTTTTAAAGATTTTATTTATTTGACACAGACAGAGAGGGAGAGAGCAAGCACAAGTAGGAGGAGGAGCAGAGGGAGAGGGGGAAGCAGGCTCCCCACTGAGCAAGGAGCCCGATGCGGGACTCGATCCCAGGACCCTGGGATCATGACCCGAGCCGAAGGCAGCTCCTTAACCAACTAAGCCACCCAGGCACCCCCAACTAGTTTATCAGTAGATGAGTAGAATGAGAATAAGTTCAGTATCACTTCTATTCCTAGTTTTCAATGCCATGGATGTACACAATGAGCAAACTTGTTCACATAAATAAGTAGATGAAAATGAATGGAGTTTTTAGTAATGCCACTTGATTCTTTGAACTCCTTCCAAATTATATGCCAAAAAAAAAAATCACATAAAGAACTAACAAAAAAATACTTTTCATGATCTATCAGCTGACAACTCTGATTAGGTTCTCTTTCAACTTTGCAGAAAGCAAGTAACAGAAAACCACCTGACTTCTAAAGGATGTGTTAGCCATTCTCATTCACTAGTCAATTGTTCCTTTTTTGGCATCCTGGAGATTTTTTTTTTTTTAAGATTGTATTTATTTATTCGTCGGAGAGAGAGAGAGAGAAACAGAGAAAAGAGTACAGGCCGGGGGAGTGGCAGGCAGAGGGAGAAGCAGGCTCCCTGCTGAGCAAGGAGCCAGACACGGGACTTGATCCCAGGACCCCGGGATCATGACCCGAGCCAAAGGCAGATGCTTAAACCGACTGAGCCACCCAGACATCCCCATCCTGGAGATTTTTGCTTCCCCCCCAACCCACCCCTAAGATTTGGGATGGGGAAGAATTATGCTTTTCTTTTGTAAAGCAGGGGAGGGGTAATTGGGATAAAGAAAGCTGGAAAGAACTTTACACTCTGACCCCAGAGGTGGATCTTTAGGCAGATCACTTTTAGGGACAGCCACCTAAGGGAAGTGAGGATATGAGAACTGATTACATTAAAACAGAGTGTCCTGGGGTGCCTGGGTGGCTCCGTCGTTAAGCGTCTGCCTTCGGCTCAGGTCAGGTCACGATCCCAGGGTCCTGGGATTGAGCCCCGCATCAGGCTCCCTGCTCGGCGGGAAGGCTGCTTCTCCCTCTCCCGCTCCCCCTGCTTGTGTTCCCTCTCTCGCTGTGTCTCTCTCTGTCAAATAAATAAATAAAATCTTTAAAAAAAAGAATGTCCTGCTCATACACGTCTTGGAAAGTCTTCATAGACCATGAGTACCCAAGTATTCTATCCACTGCCTTAGGCCTTTGGACAGCTGTTATACGTTCCATATGTTGCCTCAAGGGAAAGCAACAATTGAAAAAATAATAGTATGGGGCATTACTGTTTACAGATACCTTTCTACACACATACCATGCAAATTACTAACCTCAAACATTTCAACCTCAAAGCCACTCTTTGAGATATACCAGGAATACATTATCCTGTGTTGTAAAGTAAGTACTATCAGAGAGTTTAACTAAAAAGTATATATTAAGCATATGTGCCAAGCACTGTATTAAACCCTGGAAATTAGGGTTAACATTTAGCTGAGCTAATCAAGGAAAGCATGAAGAATGTAGGATTTGAACAAATTTGTATAATAAGATACATAACTACATTTTAGTTTAATTAATTTGAGCTGAATCTTGAAGAGTGAATAGAATAGAATTCTGTGTGAGGGGGAATTCTAAGACTGAGAAGTAATAACACGGAAAGGCATAAAATTTTATTCATGACAGTGTTAATCAACCATGAGTAAGCAATCTGGAAAACTAAAAAAGTCCTAAAGATTAGGTTGCATAGGGCGCATGGGTGGCTCAGTTGGTTAAGCGACTGCCTTCGGCTCGGGATCGAGTCCCGCATCGGGCTCCCTGCTCCGCGAGGAGCCTGCTTCTCCCTCTGACCCTCCCCTACCATGTACTCTCTCTCTCTCATTCTCGCCCTCTCAAATAAATAAATAAATCTTTAAAAAAAAAAGATTAGATTGCATAAAATATTGCATAAAAAATTTGACTTTGAAAGACAACTGAGATATATAGAGATTTTTTTAAAGGTGTGATGATATGATTAAAGGTAATTGTAAAGGGGCACCTGGGTGGCTCAGATGGTTAAGCGTCTGCCTTCGGCTCGGGTCATGATCCCGGGGTCCTGGGATTGAGCCCCGCATCGGGCTCCCTGCTCCACGGGAAGCCTGCTTCTCCATCACCCTCTCCCCCTGCTTGTGTTCCCTCTCTCGCTGTCTCTCTCTGTCAAACAAATAAAAATTTTTTAAAAAAAGGTAATTGCAAGGGTATCTAATGTATAGGAGATAGGAAGAAAAGTGTGAAGAGAGTGAAAGTGAATGGGGATTAAACACATGGAAGTGGCAGGTATCAAAGCCACAAGTTCTCTTGCTCCCCCCCATCTCCCTCCCCCTTTCCTCCAACCCCCGCCTCTACCTCTTCTCCCTTTCTCTCTCTAGGCCTTGGTTCAGTTGCAGAGGTCATTACTCTGCATTATCTCCTTAGAACAAAGCCACTCTCCTCCATAACCACAATGGGTAATGACACAAAATGTCACTATCCCACTCACTGAAGTGTGTGGCTAGAGGACGGACTTGTGGATGATGGAGTTCTTTCAGGTGGCATCAGGTGAGAGGTGGGATGAAAACATGAACCCACAAGAGGCAGGGTCTACCAACCAGTGCACATCCATAAACACCTCCATAAACTGTGACCCGTCTGTAGCTAGACACATACTGAAATTAGCTTCTGGAAACTTTCAGAACACCTTGACAGAGTAATTTTATGCCTACTGAATCTAATAATAAACAATTGGGGCTTATATGTTTGATGTCATCAGTTTATTCTAGTATCTGGTAATTCACCTTTCCTATATTTTGCAGAAGTATCAGTCCACTGGAAATTAAAAAAAAAAAAATACTGGTCCTTTACAGATTGAAAATCACTGTTGTAGAGTTCCCTCCTTCCCACCAGGAGAGTGCGTGATTCTATGCATAATTAGAAGTTACCTAATAACACATCACTGCGTAAGAACTATTTGATTGGGAACAGTATTCAAACTCATCAGCCACAGTACTAATGGGGGCAGATTAGCAATAATAACTTGAATTTCCCCTGCTTTTCTACCTACCAACCCTGCTAACAGAGTAAGGACACCTCTAGCTTTCTGGGAGCCTCTGGGGTGGTAGGTCTCTTGTACATTCACATGCCCCCTCTCTCCCAGTGCCCCCCTCCCCTGCCCTGCTCTTCTAGGCGCTGCAGGCTCCTTACCAGGATCTGTGATACAAGCCAAACAGCCAAAGCCATGGTGTAGCCTACAGAAAGGGAGACCACTGTGTTGACCTCTTTTAGGGGAACCCCGAAGCAGACTGCTTGTGCCCAATATCTTAGAAGGTTTTCAGTGAAACAGCTCTTTAT